CCTTTATCATCTACAAAATGTTAGCCTTGTCCGTAAAGAAATGTGCTTCATCAGAGACAGCAATAGTGTGCGTTATTCAGCTGTGCCATCTGTTGTAAAGTATTTCCTAATGCCCTTGAGCCTATTGACATTAGGGATGTGGGTACAGTATACCATATCAGCTGGATCTGCTTTAGTTACTGCTGTAGAGGATTGATACTAGTCTCTGTGTCCTGTTCAGCTGCAGTAAGGACGGGCAGATAGATATCATGCACATGAGTGCAGACAGTTGCACAATTATTTGCTGTTGGTGATGGGTCAGTCACTCCATAAACTGGCAAATTATGAACTCCAAAAACTATGGTTACCAGAAATGGGTTCACAGCTGTTTCTGCTCTGCCCAAGGCTAATTAGGTGTAATCAGAAGTGAGAAGAGGTGTGAGGCATGAGGCATGGTAAATTTGCCTTACTGTCCATTAGAGGGTGTGTGACAAATATAGGTTCTTTAAATGTCTATACCCCTTAAAGCTGCTTGTGCAGATCACTGAGTTACAAAATGTACATGTGTCTTTCACCAGCTTGCACCGTTAATTATACAAGCAGCAAAGCATTATATTAATCTGTGGTGAGTCAAGACACATAGTGTATATAAATTTGTTTTTTCTTTAATTGTCTCTAGTTTAATTGTAACTTATGCTCATATACTGCACTCTGAAACATTGTTTCCTTGGGATTCAAATAGATATTTGTGAATGCATGTACAGTATATATGTGTATATCTCTGAGTTATAATACAATATATGTAAAACAGATGTAAACATAAGTGGGTGTCTTTTGAATCCGTTGATCTTCTGCTGTGGAGTGTTTGCTTGGAGTGTGAAGAATGAACAGCAGAATTTTAGAAGCAGATGTACAATACAAGATGTTCATACAAGGCAATGAATCAACTAATTGCAGTTCTGGTTTTAAATTCCTAAAATTAATGCTAGTATAATGATGACTTATTACAAAATGCTAATTAAGAAAATCATATTGTCAATTTAAAGTATTTAAGATTAAAATATTTTTAAAAGACAAATGAATCAGGAAAATGAGAGAGAAAGACTTTATTGGGTAGTGCATGATTCCTTGTTTCTGGTAGGGAAAACCAGTACTGCCGAAATCAATGACATACAAATCAAAGCGTAGCTTAAGGCTACATTTTACAGAGACTGATATTGATGAGACGTAATGGACCATGACTGCAAAAGATAAAGATGTCTCAACGTCACAAGTCAAAACTGGGTTTAAAATATGTCTTAGCGCACCTGAATAAATTTGGATACCATGTGTATGCGATATGACTAATTTAGTTGCAGTCTTGCACATACAGTATCATACAACAAGCTGTAGCCTTTGCCCATCAGAATGAATAGAATAGAAGTATAGAATTATTGTAATTATTTTTCTTCAGGTTTATTATTTTTTGCTGTTTTAAGAGTGCTTCCTCTCAGCTCAGTGGTCTTGGTTTGGAGTCTGGTCTTAGGCACCTGATTGCATGGTGTCTGTGATATGTTCTCATCACATTATGTATGGGCTTTCTCTGGCTTCCTCAAACCACCCAAAAATGTGCTTGTTAGCTTTGATTGACAGCTCAAAATTGCCCTGCCCCCTGCGTTTGTCACCCAATGCGAACAGGTGACCTGAACGCCCACCTCTTTACCCTCCAATGTCTATAGGCTTAGGTGTCTCTCTTCTCTCTGTTTTCCAGTTTTGTTTATAGACTTCTGTGGATGTACTGCTTTGTACACTGTTGTACAGTGGTGCTAGAAAGTTAGTGAACCCTTTAGAATTTTCTGAATTTCTGTATAAATCTGACCTAAAATGTGATCAGATCTTCATCTAAGTCATTAAAACAGATACAGAGAACCCAATTAAACAAAATGATATAGTTTTTCATTTATTTATTGATCAAAATGATCCAATATTTTCTATTTTTATGCAGAAATTCTGAAAATTCTAAAGGGTACACAAACTTTCTAGCACCACTGAACATATTCATTCTGTTTGAGTAGAATGCTCTGCTCACAAGGGCCATAGTTTCTCAAATTCTTAAATTATTTGAAGGCAGAGACTTCAATAGAAAAACTCAAACTTAATTAAATAAATATCATAGATTTCTCTGAACCTGATGATGATACAGAAAAAAAAATTCTGAGAAGCACAAATTAAAATGAGTTTTAGAAAAGAGCTACAGATTATCAGCTTTTTTGCCCTTAAGCAAATGTTGTTGTTTTTTTCGGTGGCATTTCAGTAGAAATTACCTTGTTTTATGTGTAACCTTCTTATATTTCTGGGTCTTAATAACTGTGCTTCTGGCCATTTTTGGTCTTGGAGATGGTGCATCCAGTTTTCCAATAGCTGAAGAAGTGTCAGGTTTTAAACCAACTAGCAATGTGTTTTTGATCAGAAAATTTCGCCTGCAGTCTATACTATTAGGTTTTCTCCTGCTCGTTGATATTCAGACTACTTAAATCATCTGAGCCAGCATGATGTAATTATAATTTATAATAATAATTGCTTACACTTATATAGCGCTTTTCTGGACACTCCACTCAAACCGCTTTACAGGTAATGGGGACTCCTCTCCATCTAGAGATAGTGTAGTGGCTCTGTGGCTAAGGATCTTGCACCTGTGGCTGGAAGGTTGCTGGTTCGTATCCTGTGGCCAGCAGAAGAACCCTACTCTGTTGAGCCCCTGAGCAAGGCCCTTAACCCCAACTGCTCAAGGAGTACTATATAAATGGCTGACCCTGCACTCTGACCCCAAGCTTCTCTCTCTGTCTGTGTGCCCCATGGAGAGCAAGTTGGGGTATGTGAAAAGACAAATTCCTAATACAAGAAATTGTATATGGCCAATAAAGTAATCTGATATTCACCCAATGAGGATAGATAGATACTTTATTGATCCCGTGAGGGAAATTGCAGTGCAACAGCAGCTTAACACAGACAACACAGACACAGTGTAATGAATGATAAAATAATAATAATACAATACATACAATACAATCAGTAGATGAGTTACTCGCAGTCCAGAACACACAAAGAACAGAACAAAACCAGAACAGAACAGTACACAAAAAAGTCATATTGCACAATATGACTATAAATAAATATAAATGTATTGCACAGGTCCCTGGCATATATTGTTTTAAAACGGGAAAAGAAAAAGAACAGATGCATCAGTTTGCTCTTCAGTCCAGAAACAGGTCACTGTCAATGTTGCCTCTGCCCAGACGCAAGGTGGATGCGTTGTACAGTCTTATGGCAGAAGGCAAGAATGACCTCCTGTAGCGCTCCCTGTCGCACCGTGGATGAATCAGTCTATTGCTGAACCTGCTCTTCATTTCTACAAGCCTGTCATAGAGGGGAAGGGAGACGTTGTCCATGGGGGGACCACAAATTTGGACACCATTCACCCCACTACCTCCAGGGGGTCCAGGCCAGATAAAATTATTATTGACTTTTTCTGTTTTGAAACTCAGGATTGCACAAAGTGCACAACAAGAACAATACATGCTTTTAGGTCTTCTTCATTCTTGGCCAGAGGGTAAGGGGAAAATGTTCACAAATAAAAAGGGGAAAGGAAGCTATTTTTGGATGTTATGTTTATTTTGTGAAAGATACAGTACAAATGTTCATAATTGTGTGTAACAGGATAGAACTTCAATCATCTGAAAAAGAAAATAAGATTATCAATATACAGTACCTATGTTTATAATGTTCACATTTGCAATGCATTTGATTAAAAAGGTAAAAAAAATCTTTATTCATTTTATTATAATGTTTATTAACTTTATAATTATGGGCAAAGAAGTCAGTATTTATTATTAATCTCGGGCTGATCATCTGTATGAAGGATGCTGCACATTGGTGGTGGTGGAGGGGAGTCCCCATTACCTGTAAAGCGCTTTGAGTGGAGTGTCCAGAAAAGCGCTATATAAGTGTAAGCAATTATTATTATGATTATTATTATTATTATTGTTATCTGTTACACGAATCTCTTAAGAAATCAGAGGAAGTCCCTGAAGTACTAGTCATATTCCATGAGAATCCATTTCACACATTTCCACTCATTGTTTTCACACATTTTTTAAAGTGTTACCAGTAATGCCATGCTGTCTTTGTGCACACTTAGTTGTTTCACTAAAGTCACCATCACCATCATCATCATTATCATTATTATCGCCATCTTTATCATTCGTATCTTCATCAGTGCCATCTACATGACATTATATGGAATTTATCAGGAGTTATAGTTTAAGGACTATTAGCCCTGCTCTGGCATTTCCAATTTATTTTAGTTGCAGCGCAAACTTCATAATCTATACGGGCATTAACATAAATCTTTATCTGTGATAAGGTAAAAAAAAAAGCAAAACGGAATGAAAATATACATATGTATGAAGGGGAAGGCTTACGCAGAATCCTGAAGAACCTTTATAAGAACCTAAAAGGAAAAACGCTAAACATGACCGATTAGCTCCGAGCTATAAACTGTAATGAGACCAAAACTGCACATTACAGTTCTACCTTAAGTTCTTCGATTGATGCAACAGTACTGTACTAAAGACGCACGCACCCAGATTTTTTTGTCTTGTCAGCTAACTCCCTCTAGCGCCGAGCTCCCAGTACAATAATCTTTCAACTCTTCGCTTTACCTACTTGGATGGAGTCAACGTTGCTGGCTGCATCCAGGTTGGGATGCTTCTGTGCTGTAAACCGCAGGCAGGTTACCGCAAGTCGTCTGTTATCCGAGACGTGTCCTTTTCAGCTGCGTTCTGGTGCATTAATACACCGGCAATGCAAATAGAACATCGCGGAGACCTGGGGTGTACGCATGCTGTTCACAAGGAGTTCTAAAGAAACTAAAGAGAAAGGATTTAAACATACAAAAGAACAATAATAATATCTTCATCTTATTGTGTGTGCAAAGAAGTTGTGCCAAGCAAAGACGTATTTATTATTATTATTATTATTTCTGATTCACTCAGACTTTACATTTTCAGGAAAGCAACGTAAATTGACATTTATTTCGCGCTCCCTTAAATTCAGAAGTAAGGACTCAACTTTCTAAACGTACCTTTCGTGTGTGGGTTGCTTGTAGCTTATTCAGAGCATCCTATGGATCTGGCTACAGTACTGTGTCAGTTGATCTGTGAGAAGAGGGACTAAGTAAGACGTGGGAATGGTAAGGTCTGTTCTCTGTTTGAATATTTCAGAGGGATTTAAACACATTCTGAGGAAATACAAGTGGATTTTTTCCTGTTGATGGCCGGAGGATTGCTGGGCAGTTCAGTGGATGTTTTAGAAATGGGTTTTGGAGTAAAATTCTGCCTCGTGTTCCTGTTACTAAGGGCTCTTTTTACAGACTCCAGTCACAATAATCAAGGTAAGACGACGCTACAAACGTGTGTCATTAAAGTTAAACTTTAGACTGATTCACTATCCGCATTAATTGTTAGCCAAGCGAATTTGGACTTTTTTAATTAAGTTTTAGATAAATTTCAGCCTGCTTTCTGGGATGCACACGCCGATTTATTTGCATTAAACATTAATACGCTTTTCTGGTAAGGAAGCAGGTGCCGCAAGTCTGTCTCTAAGGTATTTTTATGTATGTATGTAAGGTTTCACCCACCCCCCGCAATTTGGAAAAGAGTGTCATATTATGATATATATTTATTTTTAATGCACGGGCTTATTTTTGGGGCAAAGTGAATATACACCAGCTGGCGACCTTTTAATGAAGAAGTGAACTTTGAACCCAGATGATGCAGAAAAGGCACACGTGTGTTTGCTCCTGTAGACCACAGAAATGTAACATATTGCAGTTTTGTTAAGATACACAAGTAGAAGTAACCTGAATGGTTATTTTAGTTTCGTAATACAAAACTAGACCCTGCACTTCCTTCTCGGTACCTCGTATACTCAGGTGAACTTCGGGAACATCTGATTCAGGGAACCTTTAACCGATCTCTACAGTCTTTTAATTACTGTCATTGCCACTGTGTTGCCAAACTGGCAGTGACTGGCATGGACTAAACCTTGTGTTGAATAGTTTCAAAAGATTGACAGGTAACATTTCTAGCACTGAATGTGCAGTATTACTGTAGTACTATCGCAGTTGCATCTCGAAGCACCTTATCTCGGACTGAAATACAGTAGCTTGCTAACAACAAAATGATAATGGCAATAAAAATATCAAGTAATAATGAAAAAACAAAAGTGAGGTATTTACGAAGGAAAACAGATTACAGATTACTCGTAACTGATTTCAGAGGATCTGTTTCAAGAAAATAACATTTAGTTTTAATGGAAGCCATGCGATGTTGAATTAGCAATCTAACAGGCACAGCATGGATAAATGAATAATATAATTAAAATGATAAGTATAATTAAAAAGCAACGTCAGAAGTCTAGAGATAGACACAGACGGGTCGAGAATCCTACTGGTGTGAAGTACCGTGCCTGGATTTCGGATTTATAAATTGGTTGCCCTTAAATCAAGAAACAAAATGCAACATCGTTTTGTGAAAAGCTTTGGGTCGGGGGGTTGTGATTTTAGGAGGAAGAACAAAATCATCTATTTGAGTTTGACCATCGGTGCGCTGGGAATATGTTAATACTGAGTTAACAGAGCTTTTGCACTTCTAATCTCGATAGACAACATTTGACGACAGCATTATTAAGAAGACTTCATATTCAGTATAATGTTGCGGGGATTGTCTACTTTCTCTGTCATGTCCGGGTACCTGTTAGAAGATATTTAAATTATCTTTCTCTTTGTATCACAGGTATTAATCAGCAGTCAAATATCTCATGGGTAAATTATTTTTTATAATTGTGCTGATAGAAAAGCGATCGTGATATGAAGTTCAGACACAACGTAAGAATAACAAGGAAAAGGTCAGCATTACTAACATGCTTTTATTTGAATACAAATTTCCAGTCTGTTAAATAGTTAGCATAATCGTAATACTGCAGGTTTGCAACCTTAACACAGTACTGTACTGTACATTTAAGTTATACTGCTTCACTGTAATGCTAATACGTACTGTAGTGCTTGAAGTCATTTTATTTACAAGTGTTCCGTATTAACAGGTGCTCCATAAATTAAGTACAGTATGTCATATTATTCTGATCTCGTTTGGAATCTGTAGTGTTTTTTTGTACATTATCATTATCTCACAAGGAAAGAAACAAATCCTAAAACAGATAAAATCATGCTAATTCATTCATTCATAATTCAGTCAGATTGACTCATATAACAACACAGATTAATAGAAGATGGATTCATTCTTATCATTACCCGGTGCGGTTGATAACTGTGGTATTGTGGGACTGCTAATTAGGTGGAAAAAGATGCCATATTGGGGAAAGTAGATAAAACACATTTTAAAAAGAAATCATGCTGACAAAAGAAAAAAAACATACAAACATAAGGATTGTTGAGTTTGATTGTGTCAACAGATTCTTTTTTGAGTCCTTCAAGTATACAGTGATATACTGTAGTCATGCATTAAAACACTGTGAGTGACGTTAATGCTTAAATGTGTTGAGAAACTATTAACATACTCTTCATGACTTCACAGCATATTAAAGTTTTCATTTCAAAACCTGCTGGAGCATAAAGCGGTATAAAAGACATACTGTACACACCCAACTTAAAAATACTTCAGCATTTTGCCAATCTGTTTATTTCTGTGAGAACTGACATTCCCAATCAGGTCTGACTAAAAAGACTTTTGAGTACAAGGCTTTTGAGTTTTGACTGTTTACTATCAGAGAACCTTTTTGCATTTTTTTTTGCTTTCTTTCTTGTTTTGCTCAGTGTGATACTGTTTGCGGTTCAGTGATTTAACCCTTAACTGATGAGGAGTAGATTGAATATTCTTTCATTTCTTTCTTTAAAACCAAAACAGAATTAGCAACATAGCAGCGCAAACAATATTTCCTGCATTTCCTTTTAATCTGTTGTGCAGTGTTTCAAATCAGATTATTGCATTTTTCCCGATCATTTGTATATATATAGTTTATGTACACTCATTGGCAAAATTGTGTAGGTAGCTTGAACAAAAAGAGTAATTCTACAAAGAAATGGCTTTGTACTTCATAAAAAAACCTAATATTGAAAAAACAAATTTAATACACCTAGACACTATTAGTTTGTATTTTGTATCTCCTTTGCCTCTTTTACAGCTTTCTTTTTTTGTCATTGAATTAGTCATTAGAATTTAAAATCAAATACCTATCGCTTTGAGTTCAGCAAATACTGTTAGGTGTCAATGTCACAATAGTGAACTTAAATCATCAACGATGTCTTTATAGCATTCAAAATGGGGGCCTGACAAGGTAAATTGTACCGTATCTGTAATGTAGGCTCTTCATTGAAAGCTTCTTCTTGAATGTGCCAAATGCAAATGGAAATTAAACTGCTGCAAAATACATAGTCCACTATGCCTTTTAGCACTCTTAGTAATGTGTCAACTTTCGTGATGTTTTTCATTGATCCTTTTGCAATATGAAAAAAAAAACAGTGCCCAAGGAAGTAAAACATTTGACTTGTTAAAATACAGTTGAATTGTTTGCTCGTGAATTTCTTGATATCCTGTCATTTTTTCACTAGATCTTTTGCCGTAATCCAAGGATTTTGCTAGTCTGCTCAAAAAATTCATCTTTGTCTGTTGGCAGAAATCTTCTTTGGTTTTTCAGACTTGGAGCCTGCTGCAATACTTTCTGTTCTCCTCTGTTCCTCAGTAATAGCCCTCAAAGAGCTTTCCTTTAAATCTGTTATTTTTGTGGTAGTCAAGGCTGGTTTCATTTTGTTGCCTTTTTGTTTAGTTATTATCCTTTTGAGTTGCATAACAAATACCAGCCTTTTTAGCACTTGCTCATTACGTAGGTATCATGTTATGTAAAATATCTAATATCAAGGTATGTAAACATTACAAATGTAATATTTAATTTTAATGTAAGCTTAAGCATAATGCTTATGGATTTAAAATAAACAATTTTCAGTTTCAGCTAGTTAAATGGTCATTTCTTATCATTGACGGTTACTGCAAAACACAGCAATTTCTTATTATACTGTATATATTTATTTTTGGTTTTAGTCATTTTTGTTCATGCTGAGTGAACAAAAAGTCAAATATCTGAGTTCATTATATATTAAACTTGTAAATTGTTTGAAGAAACTACAGTAAATGAAATGGAGTTTATGGTAATTGATTTTTAACTGAGTTTATTTTTAAATGTGTAAGATAACATGGAGACATTTTCTGTCATATAGCACATTATGAATATGTGGGTACATATTGTGTTTGTGCATGTTCTTCATTCAGATGGAGAGAGGGAAATAGCCATAATGATTTTATTTACTGTATAGATAACTGAAATGCTAGCTATACCTTCTCTCCTTAGTTCAGGGTCAGCCTGCTTTGCTTGTGTAAAGGAAGACGGTCTGTAGTGTATTTTTCATTGCGAAAGTAGTAACAATACTGATGATTTTTGAGCTTGTACTTTGTTCATGCTTTAGGAGTAAACTTTGAAAAGATGAAGAAGCCAGAGGAATGTGTAGCTCTTTTGTTTAGTTCTGTTATAAATCCCTGTTAGATATCATGGTTTTGTTTTAATACTGTATATTTTCAGATTACTGTATTGTGTTTAGTATTTATTCATCACCAAAGGCACTCTTTGCTAAGTTTAAAACCTGACAGCTACAGAAAACTATATACTATACTTGGTGTACCTCAAATTGCCTTTCTCTGCTTTTTAGTAGGTACTGTCCATAAAAAAGGGAAGGTGGTTTTCATAAATCACATACTGTACTGTATATAAAGCCAGATTGAGTAATTTTACATTAGCCAAGATTTGTAGATCAACTTCATTAAATCACAAAATGAGCTCTATCATTCAAGACTTAAACAGACATTGATTTCACTGGTACACTTTACTGTGCTTGAATGTTTTATTTTAGAGTACTCTAGGGTCCGGTACGTCTGCTGCTCATATACACTTTCTGAAAACAAAAAAAAACAGTAGTCCTTTAGTGTTTAAGTTTTCAAGATTATTTGGGGATTATATACTATTCTTTAAACTGATGACTGCAAACATGCAGGTCTCTGGCTAACCTTTACATTTTTACTTTAAGCTGAACTGTCGAAAATCTCTTTTCAAGCGGAAGAGTAATGTAATTCTGTGTCCTGGGTCACTGGGTGAAGAGATGGCATTTTCTCGCAGAGTGAAGATAAAGAGAAAAACTGAATTGTTTCATTTCATTTAATGCACATTTTGGTGCTTTGTGAAGACTTGTACAGTAAAACAGTTACTAGTTTATTAAGACATTTTTTTTATTTAGGACTTCAGGGTGTAGTAGATGAATCTGAAATGGTT